TTCGCCAAAAAATAAATTAAATTTTACTAAATTTTAAAATTTTAAAAAACTGTATTTTTCAATTTAAAAATCGAGTTTAATGAATTTTGAAAAATCCTTCGTTCATATTCCAAGGAATCTGATTTTGAACAACTTTTGTACCTACACTTTTCCTTGAAAATGCTTTTTATTACAGATCAGGAGAAAGAGCACATTCAGCAGTATAAAAAGAACTTGAATTCTCACTTTCCCTACACTTTTTAGTGGAAATAGTAGCAGAAGAAAAAGTTCAAGTCGAAATAAGTTTTGATTTTGAAAAGTTTTCATTTTTTTTCGACTTTCAATCTAATTGGCTTAGTTTTCTTGATTGAAGTTTTGAAATTATAGTTAGGTATGATTTTATAGAGTATTTCGCAGCGCATCTTTCGAAAAAAAAAACCATCCAGTTTCGGAAACAAATCCAAATCAAGTTATAAGTAAAATACTGAGTGGCTCATTTATTCTGGGACATCCGTTACACTATTTGTTTAAATGATTTATAGTACATTGATACTCTTCTTTTAGGTGATATTAATCAAGATAAACATTGTCTAGTGAATAGTAATCCAATATATACAAATGTTAATTCATTAACTTTAAATAATATTGAAGAATGTCTTTCATTATTTGATCAATTAAAACATTATGTTATTTTGTCAAAAATAAAACATTTAAGTATTTTAGATAGTAATGCATTAAATGGTGAATTATTATTAAAAATTCTTACACATTCATTAAATAATGAATCATTAGATTTGGGTAATTATGATGATCTTATACAATTAACATTTAATTATACATATGTACCATTATGTACATATTTAAATAAAAAAATTAAAAATTTTACTTGTCAAGGTTATTTAGAACGTAATACAATTGAACAATTTTGTCTATTATTTTCAAATGTTGAACATCTTCATATTGATATAAAAGATTTATGTGATATTTATTATATGTTACCATTTGTATTAAAAATAATGAAAAATTTACAAAGTTTACATATTTATTCAGGAGATATTGCTCGTGATACGCACAAAACAAAATATAATAATAACGAAATAACAATATGGTTAAATCAATTTGATGATTTACAGAATTTTTATGCAGAATATGATTGGGAAAGTTTATTTATCTGGATTAGATAATAAATTATGTCATTTTCTTAAAACTACAGACAACAGAGTTAGAGTCAAACAGTTGGTGTTTTTTTATATCATAAAAAGGTAGGAACATTATATCAATCTTTTTTTCTGAATCTTAGTTGTGAAAATTGTTATTTGTAAGCAACTGAAAAATAATCAAACATTTTGTAACTGTTTGATAAAAGTATTTTAACTACATCTATTCTCTACGTTGTCTGTTAGTCCATTTTTTGTGTTTATGTTTGTTTGTTTGTTTGTTTTTGATGAAAAATGATGAGACTGTTTTGTTTATTGTTTTTAGTTCACAGATCTTTTTTTTAAACTGTGAATAAAATGATTGGTGA